AATCAAAAAAAAAAAAAAAAGTGGGCTGGAAATAATGTAAGTAACCCATGCTCATTGAGCACCTACTGTGTGCCGTTCTCAGCTCTCCATGTGTGTTAACACAGTTCGTCCTCACAACAATCCCACCAGGTCGCAATATTATTCTTCCCACCCTACAGGGGAGACAACCGGGGCCCAAGATCACACAGCTAGAAATAAGTGGCAGAATTGGGATTTGGACTGTAAACCACATAGCCTCAGACCTAAGGCTCTTCACTATACCAGCGGGTTTCAAAGTATTTTTTCTTTTTTTAAGAAGCAGAACCCTTTTCCCAAGTGAGATCCCATAAAAAAGGGGAGTGGCTCTGGCTGAAGGGCAAGGTGGCCTACAGCCACGCCCCCCAACACCCACTCCCCCACCGCCAGCCTAGAAGCCAGTGGCTCCTCTATAGCTGCTCAGGGCCTCAGGCGGGGACCAGTCTGAAAACTGCCAACCCCACAAGCATCTGCCCTGACAGCACATGGAGACTTGCTTTAGATCTCCCTTTCTCTGCACTCTCTGGCTCCATTTCCTCATTCACGTCAGTGGGCGTATATCCCTTATGCTTTGCAGTTTGAAAGGAAATGCTTCCCCTAGAATTTCACAAGACCTCTGCAAGGGTCTGTTCTCATCCTCATTTTCGCCTGGGGGAAGCCCACTGGCTGGACCCGCATCCTCCTTCCTCTGCACAGAGCATGCAGCTCCTTGTCATGTGTATGATCATGTGTGGCTGTCACATCCTGGGAGCTGTGTGTTTACATGTCACTCACTCATTCCCTCACGTATTCATTCATTTATTCAATTATCCACCTATCTAACAAACCTTCACTGGGACCCAGGAAAACATTGAACCTGCGTGACTCTTGCCTCACATTGTTGACAGCCCAGAGGGAAGAGAGATAGACAAGCAACTATTCTAATCTCACGTAATATGGGCTAACAGGTAGTACAGGTTCCTTGGGAGCATGGGCTAAGGGGTTTTGAGTCTGCAGTATGGCAGCAAGAGAGGGAGAATTTGGGAGAAGTCAGTAGAAGTATGAAGTGAGATCTGGCAAGTGGTTAACAGGTTCCCAGATGACCTGATGTTCCAAACAAAGGGGAAAGAGAAAAATGATGGGGTTTTGGGAATGTCTGGCAGTTCAGGAACAACATGCGGCTCTCTATTGCTGGAACAGAAAGTGAGAGTGGGGGCCTGGTTGGGGTGCAGGGTGAAGTTGAGGAGATAGAGAGGTACCAGATCATGAACCCAAAGGACCAGTGTGCAAGACTAAAGCATTTTCATTTTGTCCTCCAGTGGATGAGGAGCCAGGGGAGGGTTAGAGCCCATGAGTGACAGGATCAGAGTATTATTGTTGTCATATGACACGATCATGGCTCAAGGTCTCACCTGCTTGGCTGAAGGCTGGTTCTCCATTCCCCCAATATCACTGAATCCAGGAACACTGCATTTGTAGCTTGAACTCCTATGGAGCTTCAGTGAACCAGTTCTGACCCTCTGTGAGCTGTGAGCCCAGGGTCCTGTTCCAGAGGCCAGGTGCTGGTTAGTGAGAAATGAGGGCATCTCAGAGGCTGGTCTGTGTTGTCCTGATTCCAAGCACAGGGATCAGAAAGGACGTAGCTGCCCCAGGGCACAGGGCCTCTGGCCGTCACCACCCTGCTCTTGCATCTCTGTGCATCTCTCCCACTCTCTTCCTGCTTCCTGCTGCTGAAACGTAGCTGGCACGTCTGGGGCTGACGTGGAGGCCAGTTTAGGAGGTTTGGAGGGTGGGTCTGTGTGGTGCACGATGAGAAAAAAATCTAGTTGATGAACACTTCAAAGTAGGATTAGATGAAAAAAAACCCCAAAACCAAAAAATCCCCAAAATTTAGCTTCACTGAAAACTACAGATAACAAGGATAATATTTGCAAAAAGCTAACCCATGTCTAGCACCTTCAAACACATTATTCTATTTGAGTCACCCCCTACCCCCACTGCATGCAACTCATACATTAAAAAAATAGGGTAGGTTTGCCAGACCTGGCAAATGAAAGTACACGATGCCCAGTTAAATCTGAATTTCAGATAAACGATGAATAATTTTTAAGTATAAGTATGTCCTAAATGACATACTTTCAGACATACTATCTGAAATTCAGATTTAACTGGTCATCGTGTAATTTATTCTGGCAATATTAAAATAAGATGCACAAGAATTTCCATTTGACAAATGGAGAAATATTGGCCCCGAGAAGGAAGAAGTAACAGATCAGCCCACATGTGTTTCCTGAGCGCTAACTTGGGAAATGTTTGTCCAGGGTTGAGTTGGGTGCTCGGTCTTGTGGGCTCTGCCATAAAGGTTGTCTGTCCAGTAAGAGGAACAATGGAAACATAGACAATGACCATACGGAGTAATTAACATGTAACCTGCGATGATAGAAAGAACCCTAGGGTGGGATTCGATAGGAGCTCACGGGAAAGACACTCGTTTAATCTGGGGGCTCAGGGAGCATTCTAGAGGTGGGGATGCCAAGTTGGTCTGGACAGACAAGTAGGAGGTAACCAGGAGGAGAAAGGTGAGAAGAGAAAATTGATAACATTCCTGGCAGAGGGATCGTTACCAGCAGGAGACAGTTGGGATATTAGCAGCAATCAGAGTGTATGGCGGGTGCCAAGAAGGGGGCGCTGAAGATGAGCTGAAGGGGTGGGGCCACAGGGGCAGCCATCCTGTGAGGCCTTATGTCTGCTACTCTGCTCTTGCCCTCAAAGGTGGGGGGCAGAGCCTGTGCCAGAAGCTGCTCTGTGCCTGTGACCAGACGGCGGCTGAGTGCATGGCCTCTGCCTCCTTTAATGAAAGCCTCAAGTCCTCAGGAGGAAAAGAGTGCCCTGGGGGGCTGGTGGCCTGTGAGGACAGCCTGCATCCAGGGTCCTCAGTCTCTTCCATGGGCTCCAGCTCCGAGGAGAACAGCGAGGAGGCCCCGCCCCACATGGAGGGCCACAGAAGAGCCAGGAGATTTCTGCGGAAGTCACTTGGTCCCTTAGGGATCAGGCCCCTCCGTGGAAGATAGGATCCCAAGGCCAATGGCAAGCACACCTAGTTCAAGCACACCTGGTAGTTCGGCTCCTGCTCCACCTTTTAGCCTCCTTGGCCCTCAGCCTCCTCTGTTGGCTGGAGCCTTAGCAGAGGCTCGGAGGGAATAGAGGCAGGGAGACCCTCGTCCACGTGCACTGTCACCTGTGGGTCAGCTCAGTGCCGGTGTGCTTTTAAAGAAGGCAGGCCATGGATGCTTCTGTACTTCCGTACTTCCTGTAGTGCACTATGGAAACTCAATAAATATTCCAATCAGCGTGATTTGCTTGTTTTCTTTTCCAAACATTAGATTTAGATACTGATACATGAGTATCATGTAGTGGATACATGAATAGAAGATCATGAAGGTGAGAGAACAGAGACAATGAACAAAAAATATCTCAACTCTCTAATCAATGAAAGCTACTTTTGCTTTTGTGAAAAAAAAAATAGAAGGGCATATATTGAATAAGTCTTATGGGATCACCTATCGGTCATGAATAACCCACCAATGATTAATGCCAATGACTGAGATGACAACTCTTCTGGTTTGTGCCCTAAAAATACATGTGGCCTCCTGGTTGTTAAGAGAGTGGACATGTGCCACAGCCACTACCATGAGGCATCATTGATCACCCCATCCTGGGTCCTAGCCTTGGTTTTTAAAAAATAGAGTTTATCTCATTGGCTGGAAGTTCAGGAAATGCAAATGCCCACTCTGACTCTGACAATTTAATACTATGGTGATTGTAAAAAACTTAAATTCCATCTATCCATCCACCCACCCAATAGTTATTGAGATTTTACAGTGTACCAGACAAAAAGCAATGTGCTACCAGAACCCCCTTAAATATTTGATGGGGGATACAAACTCTTTGGTTCACATCATGTTTTTGGGTTTCAAGCCCCATGTATCATGTATCCTGTGGTGAGATTATATTGAGTCTCTGCCTGCTCCTCAGACAGACAAGAAAGCAGGGCTTCTAAAGAGTTCAGTGTTTGCTGACTTCTTCATGGAATGAAAATATTCTGAAATTGGAAACACCTTAAGAAATCAACAAGTCATGGTGCCAAAGTGATAGCTGATATCCTGCTATGGAAACCATGTAGTGAGTATCTTTTGATGAATCCAACACATTGGATAGGAGTCTAATTTCATTTTTTTTGCATTTGGATATCCAGTTTTCCAAGCACCATTTGTCGAAGAGACTGTCCTTTCCCCATTGTGTGCTCCTGGCTAACCGTTTATGTGTGCATTTGTTTCTGGGCTCTCTATTCTGTTCCATTGGTCTCTGTGTCTGTTTTTATGCTAGAACCATACTGTTTTGATTACTATGGCTTTATAATATAATTTGAAGTCAAGAAATGTGACACATTCATCTTTGTTCTTCTTGCTCATGATTGCTTTGGCTATCTGGGGTCTTTTGTGGTTCCATAAAAATTTTAGAATTTTTTTTTTCTATTTCTGTCAAAAATGCCATTGGGATTGCACCGAATCTGTAGATCACTTTGGGTAGTATGGACATTTTAACAATATTAATTCTTCTAATCCATGAAGAATGTCTTTCCATTTACTTGTGTCTTTTTTAGCTTCTTTCACCAATGTCTTATAATTTTCATTATACAGGTCTTTTACCTCTTTAGTTAATTCCTAAGTATTTTAATTTTTGTTGCCAATGTAAATGGGATTGTTTTATTAATTTCCCTTATAGGATAGTTTGTTGGCTGGGGTGTACTAAAGGAAATGCACTGAAGGTTGTTAAGGGGAATTGGTTTATGTGATTAGGCCATCTGGGTTTGTTATTTGGTGCACATCTGGAGGAAAAATAAACATATCTATAGGACAGGAGGTAGTTTTGCAAATTGGAGCAAGGCATCCACCTAAGTTAGGCTCTTACTCTCTCACAGGAACTGGGAAACAGGAGAGCTAGGTCCTGGGTAAACATTTGCCTGTTAAAGAGATGGTTCCCAGGTCCTGGAGGAGACATTTCTAGGTGGTAGAAGATTTATATCTCAAAGAGGAAAGAAAAGGATTTATAGCTGCAGCCTTGCTAAAGTGAATGCTCTAAGAAAAATGAGGTCAGGGGCCTAAACTCAGGTTTTGGCTGGAACAAAGAGTAATCTTTTGTCAGCACTGAGCTTTTTCAGGCAAGAGCGTAAGGGGGCTGGGGTCACCATCCTAAGGATGTAGCCCCTGCTGCTAGAAACTATGCTAGTGTTTGTTTAAGCCTCTCAATATCTACGGTGGACAAAATTGTCTCTGCTGAGAGTTGCAGTTCTCGCAGACCAAGGCTGAGGCTAGTTGAGAGGAGGGCTCAGGGGAGCCTGACTCAAGTTTGGTCAAAGAGAGTCTTTGTCATCGTTCTCTTCTTCTCTCTCTTCCTACAGCCCACTGATGACTGCCATATTTATATCTCAAACTCAGGCCTTTTCTATGACTCCAATTTCATATATCCAAATAGTCACTTGAATCTTCACTTGATAGTCTTTAGGCATCTGAAAATTAACTTGGTCAGGACAAACCCTTGATTCCTAGCCTCATGTATCCTCTCCCACGGTGAACTCGCTCTTTCCCCACTCTTCCTGCCTAGCGAATGACACAGCCAGTCACTGAACTTGATCTAGCCCCAAACCTAGAATGCAACCTCGACTTTTCCTTCTATCTTCCCAATCCAATGCATCAATACACTCTCTTGGCTCTACCTCCCTGGGTCTATATCTCACCAGCAACATCTGGCTGGTGCTGACCATGAAATAGGCCCATATTCCTGCAGAGTCCTGCCAGGGAGAGTGGTATGTAGTGTAGACGGCCTTTATGACAGTCTTTCAGAGGGGTGTCAGGTGATCATGCAGCATGGAATAAAGTGGTAGTTTGATTTCTATTTATAGTAGTCCTCCCTTATCCATGTTTTGCTTTCTGTGGCTTTAGTTACCCATGATCAATTACAGTCTGAAAATATTAAATGGAATATTCCAGAAATAAACAATTTATAACTTTTAAATCATGTGTTCTTCTGAGTAGCACAATGAAATCTTCTGCCATCCTACTCTGTCCCACCCAGGACACGAATTGCTCCTTTGTCCAGCGTATCCATGCTGTAGACACTACTTACTCTCTAGTCACTTGGTGATCGTCTCAGCTTTCAGATCAACTGTCATGGTATGGCAGCACGTGTGTTTTACTTGATAATGGCCCAAAGTGCAAGAGTAGTAATGCCGGTATATTGTTATAATTATTCTATGTATTATTAGTTATTGTTTTCAATGTCTTACTGTGCCTAACTTATAAACTAAACTATCACAGCTATGCATGTATAGGAAAAAAACATAGTATATATGGGGCTTGGTACTATCTGTGGTCTCAGGCTTCCACTGGAGGTCTTGGAACATATCCCCCACAGACAAGGGGGAACTACTGTACTTCTGTTCTTGTTAATAGCTTCTCAAGAATTTCACTCTGACTGGGCAAAGGCAGGATTCATGCATTCTAGATCCCAGGTAATAATACCATCTTATAAAAAACTCTTGAGTTTATGCTTAACACACTGTAGGGTAGGTTCAGGTTCTGAAGGACCTTGAGCATCTGGCTAAGGAGCAGGCATATTAGGTTTCTCCCCCACCCCCATACAGTAGAGAACCATTAAAGATTTTTAAGCAGAAGTTCTGACCATATGTATTTTAAGAGATGATTTTGTCAGTGTTTAACTGAATCTGAACTTAAAAGTCCTGTGCTGTCTCCCCATTCCCAGCTGTGTGTATTGGAACAAGCACAGATTTCTATCCTGCTTAGTTTTCCCTTCCTGAATCACCACTGTGCAATTTCACTTCTCTCCCCTCGGGCCCATCTTGCTGGTTGCAGAGCAAAGGAAGGGGACAGCCCCACTCTGCTCCAGACAGGTCAGTGAGTGGGGTTAGACCTGAGGAGTTCTAAGGATTCTTCCAGTTCTGACATATTATTACTCAGTAAAAATATTCTTTACATCACAACCACATTATAGACTGAATCATAAAAAGCTAGAGCTGGAAGGAAATTTAAAGATGGTACTTTCCCAGAGGTTACAGGATGCTGATGGCAATTCCTCCCCCCATAGTATAAATCAATAAGGGGTGGAGAGAAATAAAGATTTTTCTTCCACTCTTAGTTCACATGCCTTCTAGTACATTTTCAGATTTCGAATCCTTTTCTTAGAAAATAGTTTGAAAAACGGAGTGGGCAAACACATGAACAAGTAGCTCTTCCTACTTCCTGGTATCTTTTCCTTGGTACCTTTCACAGGCCCTTTCTAAAGTTATGCGTTCCTGGGTGTCTGTTTGGGGCCAGTCACACACTCCCTCTTCCCTGGGACACACTATTCATTTTCAGTTTCAATTATCATCAATATGCTTTTGACTTCCGAATCAATATCCAGTCTCTGAATTTTCAGCCTGAATATTCAACTTTTCACTAATGTTACCTGGATGCCCCTCAGGCACCTTAAATTCAACACATCCCAATTGGGACTCACGTTAGAGTCACTTCCTCAGGAAGCGGAAAGGCTGGCATTAGATGATGGAGATCCCACAATGTTGGGCTAAGAAGTTTGAGTTTTATTTTGTATGAGAAAGTCTGAGAAGCATTTGAAGCAGTACTTCCTATACTTCAGAAAGATCAATCTGGCAGCAAAATAAAAAATAAATTGTAAAGAGCACAGACTAGAGACAACAAGAGGCTAGTGCAGCCTATTTCAATTAAGAGGTAACTGTAAAACAATAAAAAGACGAATCATCCCATTAAAATGGGTAAAAGATTCAGAATAGATATTTCTCCAAGGAGGATATACAAATGGCCAGTAAGCACATGGAAAGATGTTCAGCTTCATCAGTTATCAGGGAAATGCAAATCAAGACAACAATCTTCAGGCTGACTAGGATGGCTATAACAAAAAAGACAAAAAGTTGGCAAGGGTATGGAGAAAATGAAACCCTAGTACGCTGCTGGTGGGAAATGGTGCAGTCACT